CAACTCCTGCTCAGACAAAATCTCCCACTGTGCTCAATGGGAGATTTGCCTGAGGACAGACTGTACAACTGGAGCTACTGGTCGAAATGCTCAGAAATGGCTAGTGATTTGAGGGGCCTTGATTGGCGGGGAGGCAGCAAACACCTGAAACACCTTAAGGGGCCTGATTTTCAGAAAGTGCCAATTACTCCCCCTCTGAAAAAACAGACCCCTTTAATAATAATACCGAGCCCTTACCTAGCTCTTGTCATCGGTAGATCTCCAAGTGCTTTACGAAGGGGGATCAGTATCGTTATCCCCATTTTACAGATGGGGAAACTGAGGCACAGAGTGGGGCAGTGACTTGCCCAAGGTCACCCAGCAAGCCAGTGGCCAAGCCAAGTCTCCTGAGTGCAGTATTCTACCCACTACACTGCCTCCCTTAAGGGGCCTCAAATTGCCCCCCCTTAAATTGGAATCGCTCGTCCCATTTGAAAATTTCGGCAATGATCTTTCTGGTACAGGAGAGGATCAATATTTTACGTCAGGAGGAAAAATCAAAGTTTATTTCTTAGAAAATCTCAGTCTATATGTTTTCACAGCTGTTTTTTCATTCAATTTGATGAGCTCTACCCAACCTGTTATTTGAGCTGCGCCAGGCTTAAATAGGCACTAGTGCCTTGTGGGGAAAAAAAGTTTCTTTAGAAACAGTTGTGCTTTTATGTCACATTTTCTGCATTTTTTTTTCTTCCCTTGTTCTTTATGGCTGAGGTCAGCTGTGTGCAGGAGAACAGCTGGTCCTCGAGAACAGAGATAATGTACAGAACAGCTGCCATTTCACGAGCTCAACGGCTCCCATTGTTTGGAAGAAATCCCCCCTCTGTGCAGAAGGCCAATACCAGGCCTATATGACACGTAAGGACCATATAAGCCCAGTTTTGAAGGCTTCCCCGGTGTCCTGCCTCTCTGGACATGGGTGAGTTTCAGCCCTACTGAAGTCTTTAACGGGTTGGTGACATCACAATCACTTCCACGGCAACCGATTCGGATGTCTCTGGCTCTTTAAATTTCTCCGAATTCATAGACTCCTAGACACCTAGGGCTAAAAGGGAGCTCCAGAGGTCATCTAGTCCACCCCGGGTGCTGATGCAGAAGTAAGTACACCTCAACAAGCCCTGACAGGTATTTGTCTAACCTGTTATTTAAAACCTCCAATGACGGGGTGTCCACAACCTGCTTCGGCAACCTATTCCGGTACTTAACTATCCTTATAGTTAGAAAGTTTTTCCTAATATCTAACTTTAATCTCCCTGGCTGCAACATAAACAGATCACTTCTTGTCCTCCCCTTGGTGGACATGAAGAACAACTGATCACCTAAGTTCCCTGTAAGCTGCACGGCCGCGCAGCACCCTATTTAGTGCCACACAGGCGCTCAGGGAACCCAGACGGACCTGCCATGGCCGGGGGAGGGGCACCCCTTCCCCGGCCCCCAACCGGCCGTGCCACCCCTGCCCGGACCCAGCCGCGGCCGGATTGGGCCCAGCCGCAGCAATGCGGCACGGCCCAACTCCGGAGCGGCCCAGACCCAGGCATGGAAGAGGCAGCCTGGATCTGCTGGGGCCGGGGGAGGGGTGCCTATCCTGCAGCCCCAGAGCTCCCAAGGCGTGGAGAGACACCTCTTCCCTCCCCCACCCCCCTAGCAGCCCAGGTGTTGCTGCAGGGAGAGAGTGCTTGGGGGGGGGGGTCCTCTCTCCCTGCGGTAGCCCCGGAGC